GAGCAGTGTTCGTACACCCTCAAGTGTCACTTCTAATATAAAAATAATAAAATAAATAAATAATATATATATATATATATATATATATATAAAAAATATAATATAATATATATAATATAATATAATATATAACTGAATTGGATATAAAACACAAAAGCAGTATCTATTAATGTGGGAATCCAAGTCTCGGCAACTACAAATAAAAATGCATAATAAAGACAATAAAGGTAAACACAAATTGGGCAAAAGAACAATTACGAGCAAAAACATATAAATGGAATGCAGATAACAATATGGTCAGCTAACCTTCCTGAGGAGATAACGAAGGTGCTGATTGTAAGAGCTCCAGTAGTATTTGATTGATGAATGAGTTTTTGTTTTTTCGACTCAGCCCTTTTTTCTCTTAGCCGGATAAAAATAATTGATTTCTCTCCAGTGACATCTATGCATATCTCGTACGACGACGAAAATTTCTGTCAGAAGTTCTTTCTTAGGTAGACACATTATCTATATTTTCTTCAATTCCTGTTTCGAGTAGTTCATGATTAGTTAAACTAATTTATAACTTAGTGTAATCTGGAAAAAATACATAGATAAATGTGTTACAGCCATTGGGGAAACATGGCATACATTTGAGAAATATTAATGTAGCATTCAGAAAAATAAAAATTAGAATGAAAATAAGACAAACAAGCACAATTTGTTTAACTAATCACATTAATTTTGCAGAGTCAAAATGTTAAGAAAATTGTATGTTGATCCAATTCCTACATATAAAAACATATTTCAAATGAGCTTGACAATGGCTTTATTATTAGCAAAGTGTTTTCCTGCTAACAGAAGAAGGTAAGCCTACCTTATGAAGGTTGAGAAACTGCAAGCTTGTTAAACAGAAAAAGTCATAGGAAACATAATATATGTTGCGAAAGAAAACGGAAGAAGTAGACACTTATCTCACAAAATTGTATCAATCCATCCAGTTGTTTTTTGACATTAAACAAAAACATGTCATATGAAACATAGGAAATTTTTCGAATAAAAATGGAAGAAGTTCAAATCTGGTTAAGCCGAAGGTTTCTAGTCCACTACGTTCTACCAAGAGGTAATCCAACAGAAGAACTACACACCTAACTTGCAAAATTCTATCAGTCGATTCATTTGTTTTTTGACATTTTCCTTTGTAGAATAACGTTAGATCCAATGATAAATGTCGATAAAAGCTTTGACACTTCATGAATGTGTGTATTTATATGTTTGTGGTGAAAAAAGAGCTTTTTATTTCTAAAAATACATCGCCATTCAGCCTTATTTGTCTCCAAAAATATGGTCGACGCAACGAATTTTGCTTCTTCTTGGTCTTTTCTTTTGCTTCTTTTGCCATAATAGAGTAAATAAAGTATGAGTGGACGAAAGATCACTGCATCAGAAATCATACTTTATAGAAGTGTTTTTAGCTGAGATGGCTACAGCTCCAACCTTTAATTAAGGAGAGAAACATTTGTTTGAAAACAGAGCAACAAAACTATGAACATTTTTGTCGAATACTGGAGAATGATTTTATATATTATACAGACCTTTCATATATGAAAAATAAGATAACAATAAGGAATGATAAAATTGTATCCTCAAATCTTAGACATAACTAACTTGACAATTGAACTCAATCGGTTGTGTATTATATCCATGGTTATAATATACATTTATCAATATATAGAGGCAATATTTATTGTTGAGTTAATTCAGTAGTAGAACTTGAGGAGATCATGACTTAATAAAAGGATTTCTGCAAACTGCAACACTTAACATGCCATACAATTGATAGAATTACTGTAAATCAAATAACTATTTGCAGATGTGTTATAAGATTTAATTGGGGGTATGGTTGTTTTGCGGTCACAGGTACTGATTATCGAAGTGAATACAGTTCCAGGACTGACTCCTTCCACCGTCTTGATTCATCAGGTGATATATCTGCTTCTTCTTCAATGACCACATATATTTTCAATTTTGGACCAAGTTTATGCTATTTGTAATTATCCGCAAGAGGACTATATACAATGTCATATATATATATATATATATATATATATATATATATATATATATATAAAAGGTTCAGTGAGCAATTCGAATAAGTGAAACTTCAACGATTGACATTATCATGTTTGTTGTATTTAGGCACTTTCAGAGCAACCTCCCCTGTATCCACAACAGTTCTTCCGCACGTTGCTTGATCTGGCATCAGAGAGATCTATGTGAATATAATTATATCACAAGATTTCAGGTTGTTCATTTCTCTCTTATTATCTGTTGTCCATCCATCATTTTTCTTCCTATGTTGTATGTTAATTCAAGACTCTTTGTAAAAATGTTGCCGATTTTGTGATTGCACTGGCCATGTGTGTTTTCATTATATTATTTACTTGATATGACATTGCTATTGACAAAATATATTTATGTGAACAATTTAACAGTAGCAGTAACTTAATTTTAGAGTTTTTTTTAATACATTAAAAAATGATTTATAGTTTAACATTTTTTGTAGACAACAAATTTTAAATGTCTTAGGTTCGGCTTAAGTATATCAACAACCTCTGTACATTTTGAACTGAACCCGAGGAGAGGATAAAGTAATGAACTCTCACTATGTCTTCACAACAAATCCTGACATACTGTTCAACCGTGAAGTTACTTCCATGATTCATCATCATCATTGCCAAATGACATTGAATGGGAAAATCTTTTTTATTGTCTTACTATTACCTCGAATGATAGTTACATTTCATTTGAATTAACATTCGAAGCAAGATAAAAACAAAAGACCATATAAGATATGCATATGCTATAGGGAGGGATAAGTGTTATCTCACTTCTGTCTGAGCTACTGCCCCTTCCGGGCCTCCAATCATGCACATTTGTACAATTTGGATCCAAAGTATTTTGAAATTTATCTAAGATAATTCAGTGCTCTGACATTAATATATGCACAAACTCTTCCTTTGAGATGCTCGACATATACATACCAGTAAATGAATTCTTGTTTTCAGAAGTCTAGAGAAAAGAAAGTAAAAACCATTCACTAGGTGAAGTTTTTATTATTTGTTTTATTGTGCATATATTTTCCCAAACTCATCCACTTCTATGGTTTTGATGTACCTGGAAGCACACAATGTTTCGAGTGTATGCAGATGAGTCAGCTACAGGGAGTTGTAGCATAAACTAATCTTCAGTTACTGATGGTTGTATGATTGTGTACATGCCTACTTGGGGTCCTTATAGTGTTAAACTGGTCAGAGGTGGAAATGGATCAATGGTTGTTTATCCCCCACACCTGCTTTAAATCATGGTATTCATCAATGTCATTGATAAATTGTAAAATTAATTTAACAAATCATGAACTACTTGAAACATGAATAGAAGAAAATAGAGATAATGTGTCTGCCCTGTTGTTATCGCTGTCTTTGATGAGAATTAATTGTTGCCTTTGATGAGGTTGACTGCTATGGTTTGATACCTCATTTTGAGGTTGAATCATTATTGCGTTTTAATCGTTTTCTACTCCGTCGTTTTGATGTATTTTAAACCATGGGTTGCTGATTTTATATCGTATTGCTGCTGAATTTTAGACTAAGCTATTTCTTACACTTCTGATCAAACTTCAATCTACTGTTGCTATGTGTCGAGCTAAATTTTTCTACACTTTTGGATATATTTGAGCCAATGGTTTGCCTATATATTTGGCTAAACTTTGCTGCACTTTTAAGTTAGCTAACTGCTGCGCTTTTTTCAAAATATTGCTGCTGCAAATGTTGCACTTTGGACAGAAGTTGAGGCTTAAGGATTGCTGCATTTTTGCTAAACTATTGGTTGCTAGAGATGCACTGCATGCATTTCTACATTATTTTTACAATGAAAAAATTGAATACTCTATGCATGGTATTACAGCCAATCTTGCTTGCTCCCGAGAACCCTAACCGTTTGCCATTACAGTCATGTTCCTCCACTTGTCCTGAACAACATCAATAAGTATGAATAGGAAAGCATTTTAACACCACATGCATAGATAAGAAACTAAAATTAAGACTAGACCTCACAACTATATCTGGTTCAAATAACTTCCAAACTTCCTTTGCACTAAATATAATTATCTAATGAAGAAAATGATAGAAGGAACCCTACTTTGAGATCTACATTTGAACGCAAACACAATACTCCACTAAATTCTTCCCAGCTTTAAGGGCATCTTCTTCTTCTGAAGTCCACTTTTGCTTAGGTGCACCCATCAAAAACTGAGGGAGGAAACTTCAGAACAACCTACTGAAAGTACCCATAAGAATGTATCAACAGACCATCTGAAGAAGATAAATTGCACCATATATAAGGTAGTTAATGGCTGTCATGCATATCAAAATCCAAATTAGCTTGAATAATCAACATGTAAATTGGCTTCATTTGGAGAAAAGCAGACGCGTACATAGTTAAGTTAACCTTAATAAACATAAACCTTGACGACGATGCCATTCATTGCATAAATGCATAAAATGAAACCAGAAACAACTCCAGACAAAACTACATACAATGGTGTTAGATAAGTATATACTAAATTAATTCATGTCTATTAAACACGTTTGTGATATGTACTTTGGAACTAGAAAGGTACGCATTACAATAATCATGTCAGTTAACTTGTTTGCTGTTAAATTTTCCAAGTCCAGGAAAAAAGAGAACCAAGTTTGTACCATAATGATCCAACTCCTAAAAGTCCAAATATTTTATCAATACTATAAGTTGTTGGCATCCGTTTTACCTTGAATAGCATCTTATTCATGCTTTTAGCTGTCAAGTGATAATTTTTGACCTTGAGCCAATGTTTAATAACATTAGTTAAGGCATGGGTGCCTATAGATTTTAATTTCAACAAAATATTTGTTTAAACATTTTTGGTTAGAATTTTAGGGAGAAGAAAAGGTGTTTGTATAATAGTTGCGCATTTTAAGGATACTTTGCTTCTTATTTTTAAATAATGTTTGAAGTTCTTCCCCTTTCATTGTTTTAGCTGTCATTAGATTTAAAGATTATCGATATCTCAATATTTGGCTCTGTAAAACTAATGTTATTAGTTAAATAATTGTGCTTGTTTGCCTTATTCTCATTCTAATTTTTATTTTCGTGAACGCTACATTGATATTTCTCAATGTATGCCCTTTTTCTCCCACTTATGTATGTATTTTTTCCATATTGCATTAAATTGTAAATTAGTTTGACAAATCATGAATTAATTGAAACAGGAATGGAAGAAAATAGAGATAATGTGTGTGCCCAAGAAAGAACTTCTGAGAGAAATTTGCGTCATCGTACCAGATATGCACAGATGTCACCAGAGAGGAAGCAATTATTTTTATCTGAGCTAAGAGAAAAAAGGGCTGAGTCAAAAAGACAAAAACACCTTCATCAATCAAATACTACTGCCACTCTTACAATCAGTAGTTCTTCATTATCGCCTCAGGAAGGTTAGCTGAGCATATTCTTATCTTCCTTTTATCTTCTGAATATCTACAACTCTAGTTAGACGCTACTACTCTTACTATAGCTATTTTCCTCATTTTGTAGTTGAAGCTTCTGAAGCCACAAACCTACCAGTTACTTTAACTACAGGACATCATCAATCAAATAGTACTGGCGCCCTTACAATCAACACTTCTTCGTTATCTCCTCAACAAGGTTAGCTAACCATATTTTAGGTAAATCTGTTGTAAAAAAAAGTAAAATTCTGTTAGTAATTTTCACGTATAGGATCAAACATAATGGACGCGTAGTGCACTTACGAGAAATAATAGCTGAAATTTTCCTATTGGTTGGGGGTTATCGAATCTTCACAGTTCACATGAGTTGCTTCTCCTCTGCCTTTTTTTCGTTTGATCTGCTAAGAGTTTGGTTTCCATATTGTGCTTTGTTCTATTTTTTATATGATTATATATGAATTATTTGTGTATATTGCTGCTAAGTGAATGGTTTGTCAATTACAAATAAACACTTCTGAGCCGTAGGATGCCCAACATTTTATTTATGGGAAAAATATCATATCATTATAACAACATTTGCTTAGAAATAGGTATAAAAAAATTGTTCAGTTCATTACATGTCAAGTACTAATTCCGGAAGTCATTACATGTCCAAGACATAATATGCTCTTTTACAAAGCTTTGATAATTCTACAGTCATATAAATAATTTTATGTTGCTGCCACAGACATTTTGTCCTTACCACAGTAGTTGTAAAATGTTGCTGCCTGTTTAAATTTAGCAAAATCAAAACGAATTACCTCTGCTCACAAGCTAATTCTAACAAAAAAGGGACAACTTGTGAAATGATTCTGAGTCGTTGGGATGAATCATTAGCTGCAACTCTAAGTTCTCCTCTAATATAATCAATATTTCCTTAAAATATACCATCTAAAATATACATGTAGAGGACAGTTCATGTTGTATGCGCCAAGATTCAACTATGGAGACAAGCAATCATTTATTTGTTGAATGTGAATATGCTACAAAAGTAAGAGATACAATAACTCAATGGATAAAAGTCAGTCTACCTATAAGAGGTTTCAAGGAAACAGTAGAAATGATCAAATATAAAACATTGGAAGAGTTTGAAGAAGCAAGTGATAGCAGCTATGTGGGGAGGAAAGCAAGGAATTGGAAACACTTCAAAGGAATGCATATGCAGTATACAGAGATAGTGAACACAATTAATAGAGAAATGGGTGAAACAATATTAATGTTCAATAATACAAAAAATTCAAGTAGGTGTAGTCGTTTTTTGGCAAAATTATGTAATAACATGTCTTTACTTTTCCTCAATATGTTGAGGTTTGGATGATTATAAGTCTCTTTTATGGTTTTTATGTTAATAATATTCACATTGGTTGCCAAAATACTTGAAGTTTTCTTTCAACCATCAGATGAAATTGTCTTGGTCACCATTTTGTAGTCCCAGCTTTGAAATGTGTCTTCTGAATATCTATAGATATAGTTTGACCCTTCATATCACCTACTCTTACTAGAGTTTTTTCCCTCATTTTGTAGTTGAAGCTTTCGAAGTTACAAACCTACCAGTTAATTTAACTACAGGAGAACATCAATTAAATAGTACTGGTGCCCTTACAATCAGCACTTCTTTGTTATTTCCTTAAGAAGGTTAGCTAACCATATTGTTACCTTCCTTTCCTTCAATCTATCTTCTCAATATCTACAGCTATAGTTAGGTGCTTCATCTCAACTACTCTTACTAAAGTTATTTTCCTCATTTTGTAGTTGAAGCTTCTGAAGCTATAAACCTACCAGTTACTTCAACTAGAGGAGAAAGTATAGTTAATTGCTTATCTACCTTTGAAGTAGGTCAGTTCAGAAATATTACTTAAACTATTTTGACTATATTGATTTTTAATAATTGGCTAACAGTGTCTAAATATTTTTATTCCTGATACTAGGATCAACGTCGGGTGCATCTTATGCTGCAAGCAGATCAAGTTCAAGACGTACTTCAAATAGAGGTATGCTTCTCTCTACCATAGTAAAAAAAAATACTGTATGCCTTTATGTAACAAATAATTGCTTTTTACCATGCACAGGTAGAAATAAGTTAGAAGTAAATCTACAAAATGATAATTTATTGCTAAAAGATTACTTACTTTTAAAGAAAATTCCAAATTGCAAATTTTGTGCAGCAAAAAGATTTCAATATGAATCACCAGGTTTTTGTTGTAATAATTGTCACGACCCAAATCGAGCCGCGAGTGGCACCCACACTTACCCTCCTATGTGAGCGAACCAACCAATACAAAACCCAACATTTCAATATAATGACGGAATATAATGCGGAAGACTTAAACTCATTAATGAAAATCAATTAAATAACTTCTAAAAACTCAACAACTATTATTATCTCCAAAATCTTGAAGTCATCATCACAAGAACATCTATCCTTAAATTACTAAAGCTAAGAGTATCTAAGAAACTAAACATAAATAATGGCTAGTCTATGCCAGAACTTCAAGGCATCAAGACATGAAGAAGAAGATCCAGTCCAAGCTAGAAGCTTTAGCTCACCCTGAAATCTGGTGTGACGAAGACTGGCTACAGTTGCGGTTGAGTTGAAGATGACGGTACGTTTGCTGCACTCCACAAATAACAAAGAAAAACAATTACAAGTAGGGGTCAGTACAACCACAAGTACTGAGTAGATATCATCGGCCAACTCAAAATAGAAAGCAATATATATCAGATAATATCATAAAATCCACTACAATACTCAACAGGTAGCAACAACAAGTACAAGGATCATTGATAATAACGCCAAGTACACCCATGAGGACTCAAGCCTCCACACAATACTCATTTGTGATATAGGTTCTTTTCATTCGAATTTATTAACATAATTTCAAGATTTATTATCTTTATTCCTCTTGTGTCGGTACGTGACACTCCGCTCCCCTACTACTATGTGCCGGAACGTGACACTCTGATCCCCTAATTCTACGTGTCGGTTCGTGACACCCGATCCCCTAATTCTACGTGTGGGTTCGTGACACTCGATCCCCTAATTCTACGTGTTGGTTCGTGACACCCGATCCCCTAATTCTACATGTCGGTTCGTGACACCCGATCCACTAATTCTACGTGTCGGTTCGTGACACCCGATCCCCTAATTCTATATGTCGGTTCGTGACACCCGATCCCCTAATCTCATTCTATTAATTCATTAAGTCTTCTCTTATACCAAGGCATCATCAATCTCATTACTTCAGGTCATCAAGCCTTCTCTTATACCAAGGCATCATCAATCTCATTACTTTAGTTCATCAAGCCTTCTCTTATACCAAGGCATCATCAATCTCATTACTTTAGTTCATCAAGCCTTCTCTTATACCAAGGCATCATCATTAACAAGGTAAATTTAGGATTAGAGATTCTATAGACTCATCATGCTTATTCATCACAATTATATAATCACATCATGTACGCACACAATTAAGCATGTAGAAGGTTTTATAATACTACCCAACACATATCATTCGCTATTAAGAGTCTACTACGAATAGCATAAAAACCATAACCTACCTCCACCGAAGATTCGTGA